TGCGGGCTGGCCCGCCCCGCCAGCCCGTTTTGACATCTCTAGGAAGGAGCAGTGATATGACGCGTGTTTCGAGTACGAGTACATTATTAAGGACATTTTAGTAAGAGGCTTAAAAACACACAAACACATAACCTCTATTTTTTTTTTTAAATGTCATTTTGGCATTATCAAGCGTTAACAAAATAAATCACTAAAATTAGTTGGGTCGGCCCCTCTCTCTCTCCTAAAAAATTTTTCCTCTCTCTCTCTCTCGCAAGAAGACCAAGCCGATCCTGCGTCCCCCCTTCTCCTCTGTTCCGTTGTCGGTGCCGCGCACTTATCCGGTCATGGGCTGGGCTTGAAGGCGGGCGCGCTCTCTCTGGCTGTTGTCCGGTGGTCGATGGAGGCGGAATCTCTTGAACCGTCCTTCCTTTTTCTAAGGTTTGGGGCTGGGTCCGGAGTCGGAAGCCCTTTCGATATGGCTTGTCGGGTGGGTTTCCATGCTTGTTGGCTCTTTCTTTTGATTATAGCTGTTGGGAGTTCAGATCTGGGCCTGAATTTCGCTTCTTCGCTAGATCTGTCTACCCGCTCGTGCTTGACCGGAGTTTTTAGATCTGGAGGCTTTAGGTTTGTTTTCTCCCTTTTAGTTGTGGTTGTGGAGATTGGTCTATGGTTGGGTGGTGTTGCCGGTTACTGTGCATTGGTCCGAGAAGAGCAGGGGAGGTTTTGTTGTTTTTCATAGGTTTTTTTTTTTGGTTAGTAATCTTTCGTTTTTTTTTCTTTTTTTTTTTACGTTCTTGTGTTGTTAGGTTTCCCTTGTGGAATTTGTTTTCGTGTTGTTAGTTTCCCTTTTTGTTTTCGTTTTGTTTAGTTTTGCTTAATTTTAGTAGTGTTGGTTTAGTCCTTGCTGCGGCTCCCTCTCCTCCCCCACCATGGATGATTTTCGGAGTCCAGATCTAAACCGAGAGCAGTCTCTTCTCCAGATCCGTCTAGGCGGCTCGTGTGGCCGCAGTTTTCGGGCATGAGGTTTCGGTTTGTGGCTGTCTTGGATCTCTTTGCTAGTGGCTGTGGATCGCCGTTGGTTAGGTGTGTGAGTTTTATTTTCGTTTTGTTGTGTTGGTTTGTTAGTGCAGCTTTGTCTGCTTTTAGTGCAGCTTGTCTGCTTTTAGTGCAGCTTTGTCTGCTTTCAGTGCAGCTTGTCTGCTTTTTTTGGAGTTTTGTTTTTTGGTAGTTTGCCTCCTTGATGGAGTTTGTACCCCTTGCATGTGATGACAAGGGGGTGGTCCAGTCTTCTGGTTCCAGTGTGTCATTTGACACTTCAGTTGTTCTCTTTTGAGTTTTTAAGTGATTTATATAATTTGACGTTTGAAAAAAAAAAGCGTTAACAAAATAAATGTATATATTTTTTTACATATTTTTTCATTATTACCCTCATCCATCTAATAAATACACTACTTCTTTTCATATTCACTATTCATCTCTTCTCAAAACATTCATCTCTATCCTCATTAATGAGGGTTAGACAAAAAGAATTATTCTTAATAACTAACTTCTCAAAACGACATCTAATAAAAATAGAATGGAGTAAATCTGATTAAGATTTTGAACCTCTGAGTAAACATTAATTAAATATATATATCTATATAAATATAAAAAAGTTTGGTATGTACCTAAAAAGAGTAACTAATTTCCCGCTTAAACAATTCACTTTTACTTTTTTTTTAATAATTTTAAAAAACTTTGAAAAAAGGCGGTCATTATTTAAAATTTAAATTAAAAAGTCAACAATTGCAGTCGATCACGTTTATTCATTTGTCCGAGATTTTGGTACATTTTTTACTATCATAACAAAGGAAAGTATTAAATGAATAAGGTTAATAACTGTGTATTATTTTGGTCTAATATTTTAGTTAAATATATTCTGCTTTGTTTTGCAAAGTAAAATCTATACATATCCAATAAGCCAACAATTGCATCTCACGCGTACTCATTTGGCCGAGGAGCTCGATTGGAACAAGCTCGGCGACCGATTCAGATTACTATGTCGTGGGGATCAGGGGCGAGCAACCTCGCCGCCAGAGAGGCTTCAATCGCGAGGAAGATCAGGAATTTGCTCCATCTAGGGCTGACGAGATCGACAATTGGGCTGAATTCGGCGAGCAGAGAGAGAGAGAGAGAGAGAGAGAGAGAGAGAGAGAGAGGGGTAGAAAAAGGGGGCTTCTTCATGGAATCTCAATCACGGGCAGAGTTTTTTCAAAAATTGGGCGTCCAAGTGTTGGGTTTTTGCTCTTTTTGTTAGAGTAGTATACCCGGCGTTCCAATCAGATTGGACGTATTCTACTTGAAAATACAATCTATTGGAATTATATTAATTAAAAGGCATTATTTTATCTTAAGAGTAAGCATTTATCATATAATTGCACTTAAGATAAAATCCCTAGATCACTTGTGGTTATAAGATATGGTTGCGCATAGAGATGGTAATCATGGAACATATCTTGAAAGCCGTGATCTTAAATAAAGTTCCAATTCGATGGATGTTTCGAGATGGGATATCGAATAATCCATAAAAGAATTGCACATAGTATGTATGCTTGTTTGGACAAGAATGTTGCATTCCATCAACATTAGCGTGGGACGCAAGTACATATATGTGGGTGCTTGTTAGACAACAAGTTCACTGAACATGACCGTATGAAAATACTTAATGAAAGAATTGTCTTGTTGAATAAGTATTTTCATGTTACAATAGTACATGATTGATTCTTAGACTTGAGGCACAATGGTAACTTTGTGCATATTACATTATACTTTGATTTATCCTTTTGGTTGCTAGCACAATCGTATAAAGGGATATTTTGGGTATTATGTTAATATGTATGGAAGTTTGTTAGTGGCCAACAAAGGATTCGACACTTATGAAGATAAGTGAATTTCCTATGTGTTTCATAGTTAGTAATTCAAAGTCCTTGGCCAAGGCGGGATGAATGGAGATTCATACACGAATTACTAAACATGAAATAGAATCATAGTTATTAAATCAATTTGGGTTTCGACTAAAATCATACCCAAGATTTAATCGGGAAATTGGATGTCGAAAGGATTTTACATGTATGTAATTGTAATTGAAATAGGTTTACTCGCTATTCACTTAATACTAGATTCATGCTACTTGCTAGGTGTTCCCATGATATGTGGGTTCATGAATTAAGGAGTTAATTCATGAATAAGAGTTAATAAAGATTAACTCAAATTACAAAGAGTTGTAAACCCACTACTAGTATTAATTGTGAACCTAAAAGGTCACACCAATTTTTGAATGAAGGTAAAATTCAAATAGTAATTCTAAAGAGTTAGAATTAATTGACTAATCTAATTTGATTAGATGTCAAATTATAGAATATATTAAATTAATCAATTGGATTGATTAATTGAATTTTGGATATTAATTAAGTAATTAATGTAATTACTAATTAATAGTTGAAATTTAAAATTGGATTTTAAATTTCAAATCCAAATAATAATATGATTATTAAATAAGGAAAATGGAAGAAATGATTAAAATAATAAAGTCTTGAAAAATGATTTCAAGATTTATTATTTTAATGTTTTATTATTGGGTTAATTGCTAAATAAACCTTAACCTTTTTGCGTTTGACAATTTTATCCCAATCTTTGGGTAATTGCAATATAATCTTGACCTCAATTTACTTATTGCAAATTTGGGTGCAGAGTGATTGATTTTTGGAATTTGTGGATCGATTTTGTGTCCAAGTCTTCCACTGACATGGGTTTTTATGCCA